AGCGGCACGTAAGGGAGGAAGACACAGACAGAGAAGGTGACCATCCAGGCCAGGTCCATCCACTTCTTCCGCTGGATAACAAAATAGAAAAGATACCACTGGAAGTAGAGAGGCAGTAAGACTGGAGGCCGGATCAGGAAGAAGTATTTGTGCTGGTGGTTGCACAGCAAGTACTCTTTCTTCTGTTTTCCAAACTCCACAGAGAGGAGCTTCCCCAGGGCAAAGAAGAAGGGATGCATGTTGATGTCTGGGTTTTTGCAGAAGCAGTTGGGCTTGGCATGGTGTTGGAAGTGCTTGTGGTTCCGCCCACTGGCCGGTGCCCCCTTCATGTGGCCAGTCACACAGGGATGGAGCATGTGGTTCCACCTCGATGTGCTGAAAACGGACAGGTGCCCAAAGTCATGCGGCAGCCAGCCAGCCTGGGCCTGAACTGCGCTGAGCAGCCCCGCACAGAGGACGAATGGCACGAAGGATGCCCCAAAGACCCAAAGGGTGAGCCCAGCAGCCACATCCAGCAGCAGGATAGGCAGCAGGTCTAGCAGGAAGAAGACGTGGTTGGCCTTCACGAGTCGCATCTGCTCCACGGTGGCCCACAGCTCACGGAGCTCGTTGGTCAGCAATTTGTTCTTGGTGGGCTCAAAGCTGGGCTGCTCCGGAGAGAGTTCTCCCATCAGGAGAGAGTTCATGGACTTCCTCACAAGGCCCCTGTGGATGTGGAATGCCACACAAAGGGATCCTGGGCTGGGCTTTACCCCTGGGTGTGTCTGCAGACAGCTTTCGCCCAAGAATGTGGGCATAGGTGAGAAACAGAAAGGATTTGGCATGGTGTTGGAAGTGCATGTGGTTCCACCAACTGGCCCCTTCACGTGGCCAGTCACAAAGTGATGGAGCATGTGGTTCCACCTCCAGGTGCTGAAGACTGGCCGGTGCCCCCCGGCATGTGGGCCAATCACAAAGTGATGGAGCATGTGGTTCCACCTCAAGGTGCTGAAGGCTGGCCAGTGCCCCCTTCACGTGGCCAATCACAAACTGATGGAGCATGTGGCACCACTCCGAG